AGGGTTTCAGGGTTTCAGGGTTTCATGGTTCAGGGTTTCAGGGTTTCAGGGTTTAGGGTTTAGGGTTGAGGGTTTCAGGGTTTCAGGGTTTCAGGGTTTAGGGTTTAGGGTTTAGGGCTTCAGGGTTTCAGGGTTTGGGGCTTTAGGGTTTAGGGTTTTAGGGTTTTAGGGTTTTGGGGTTCAGGGGTTAGTGTGTGGGTTTAGACGAGTTCGTGGCATCTGAATCTAAACTGCCTAGACTGCACCTTTCAACCTCGCAGGATCTGTGGTGTTCTCTCTAAATCAGCGTCCCTTGTTGGGTCCCCAGTATAGTACGGCACCCTTATAAAAGGATCCCCCAAAAGGGACCCTAATTTAGAGAACCCACTTAGAACCGGCTTGGCCAGCTGCCGTCTGCGCGGCGAGTGAAGTGGTAAAGCTCCGAGCCTGGGTGCGACGTTGGGGGCTTGGGCTTTAGGGCTAGGGCCAGGGGGGTAGGGTTTATGGTTTAAAGCCGGAACAAAAAGATCGCATAAGTTCGTGTAAAACGGCAGGCGTCACCGACGACAAAAAAACTCAAACCCATCACAAGCACTCCCAAACCCTCACCCGCCCACCCTTACAGAAAGCACCATGGCTCCTGCCCGGACCCTCAAAACCCCATAAAACCGCAAATCCCAAAAATGCCAGCAACAAAGCGGAGTTTGTTTACCAATTCGGCTCGTTTTGGATTCAGGACCGACACAAGGGGGCTGGTAAAAGGCGCGATCAGTGCGGGCACTGCACTATTTTAATACTTATTACCAATACCTGAATTCGCGTCTTGTGTTGGCTGCTTTGTGGGCTGGTCGGTCATGCAGGGCATCGCATAAGATGCAGGGTAAGTTGATTGATGTTCTCCTTCAGGCGTTCCTCTACTAGATACAACCAGAAACTCTCCCTTGTCGATATCACAAGGCCAGTATCAAAAGATGCTTTTCTCAAGAAGTAGGCTTTCGGGCTGTCGGGCTGAAGGTGCGAAGCCCCTGCGTCCCGTTTTCTTCATGCGAGGCAGCTGGACAATCGACAATCACCTCACTCTAAGGGTGCAGCCGTCGGTACATCTCCAGCCAAGCTCGGCAAGAAACGAATTCTCTGGGACGCAAGGCGGCCCCAGAACTTATGGACAGTCCGAGGCAAGGAGCCCGCTCTGTTGAAGCCCCACTCCACCACGCTAGGTAGCTGTCGCGAATTGACAAAAGAAGTGCACTAACAAGGTAACTGCTTGCAGACTTCCGCTGTGAATCCCCATCCTGCGTTGCTGATGCTTATTGCGGCTGTTGCTGCTGTTATCGAGGTGGGGTTTAGGGTTTAGGGTTTAGGGTTTAGGGTTTAGGGTTTAGCAAGGCTGTCTGCCAGCAGGGGAATTTGCATCAGCCCGCTTCGGCGAATGCCGAGGGAAATCCTTTGGAAGAAGGTGGCTTGAATTACCAGGCCGTGGCCGCTATGCTCTGTGGCCTAGCAACCTGGGCCACCAAGGAAATGCATGCATCTTCGCTTGGAGTCGAACAGCAGAATATCGGCTGACAACGAGTACAGGAAGGAGAATCCCAGCACGGTTGCCAGCATGATTGCAAAGGATGGCCGGCGCGGCCATTCCTCCCAGCTCGCAGAACTGTAGTGACAGATGCATGTTCAAAGTCTTGCGACAACCGCTAGTGGGTAGTGACCAAGCACAAGTCAAATTGAGGCTTGTGGAATGCAGCCGCACTACAGGCGAAAAAATGCGGTACTAGTGGCGCTGGCTTGATGGAAGAAGCCTGTGGCAGTCACTAGATTTTTATCCTGGCTTCGCTTGCTTCAGCAAGTCCTACTCCTACGACGACGATAACAAACTACTACCTCCACTGCTACCGCCACTACCACAATGCTACGACTACGACTACATCCACAACTACTGTTTCTACTACTATTTACCACCGTCACTACTGCTACTACTGCTGCCCCTGCCCCTGCCCCTGCTCCTGCCCCTGCCCCTGCCCCTGCCCCTGCCCCTGCCCCTGCCCCTGCTCCTGCTCCCTTCATGACTTCGGGGTTGCAAGACGAATGTGCGAGGGGGACGGAGGAGCTCCTGCTCCTGCTGCTGCTGCCACTTGCAAGAGCTAGCAGAACTGCGAGAATCTCATATTCAATCTAGCCCACAACTCGCAGCCAGGAAGTCCGAAGGTGCAGCCCTGGCTCCTGCTTTCTTGCTTGCGCCTGCTTCTTCTGGGCCGGCGCCAGGGGGAGCACGGCGAGAGATGCAAAGCTGAAGGTGTACGCGACGAGGTAGGAATAGGCCACTGTCCACCGAAAGGAGACGGCATCTTCGATAAAGTTCTCCCGAAGCGTCAGAGCTGGCGTGAAGGAGGAGAACAGCTGGTTCGACACAACCATGCCGAAAGGGATCCCAACGAAAGTGACCGACTGAAGCATGCCAGCTACCATGGCTCCGTTGTCGTCGTCTGCCAATTCGTTCGCCATCAAGACCTGAGTGTAACGAAAAGGAAGTATTCAGAGCACATCCCGACACATTCCACAGACAGCAAAAGCTGCTGCACGAAGCACTCACCAACGCACTCTTCTCAGCGTTGCCCCATCTCCAGCAACGCAGATCCACAAACCTCAAACTATCGTTGCTCTAAGCAATGAGAGAAATTCAGCTTCAAGGAGCGTTGATGAGATTATTCATGGCCGTCGGAACTGCACGGGAGATCGGCTCCCCGAGGTAGAAGTAGGGATTGCGCACGAGGTCAAAGACCGTCAGCAGCGAAGGGATGCCTTCGGGCCGGGAGCGGCAGATTTTGTTAGGCGCCTCCTGGGGTTTGGGAGTTTAGGGTTTAGGTATATCTTAGGTCGTAGGGTTTAGGAGCGTAGGAGCTTAGGGTCTAGGGTTTAGGAGTCTTTGGGTTTAGGAGTTTTAGGGTTTAGGAAGTTTAGGACGTTTAGGAGTTCAGGGTCTAGGATCCGGGGCTGCTGCAGCTACTTACGGGGAGCCGTCTAACAGGTCCCAGGGGCTGTCCGCGGCAGTGGAGACGGAGCTTGTGATGAAGATGATCTTCCTCCAGCTCACATTCAGCAAGTATCTCCGCATCAGGTAACTGGTCGCAAGGGAGATCAAAAGCGAAAGGGCATTGCTCATCTGAATCTGAATGCCTCTCACTTCGGCCCACTCCATCATGACCCATACTTCGGCAGTTGAGCTCATGTGACCGATGGATGTCCGAAGGAAGACGAAAATCCCCACGAACAAGAAGGCCTTACTCTGCGTCAGGTTCCAGACCGAGGACATCTGTTCCCTGAAGGAGGATCTCACAGCCTTGTTTTCCCGGACGAGGAACAAGCAACACACAGATGTCACCGCCACACACGTCAGGTAGATGCCCATCAGCTGCTGGAAGTTGAGCTGCCTGGCCTGCTCAAAGCTGCCGTTAAACATTCTGCCATTGAACCCAAAAGCAGATAAAAGCACGGAGGTGAGGTGGCCGCCGAGTCTGACCATTTGCAGCACTATCTGCGTCCGGCCCCTTCTCTCCACCTCCTCCTGCTTTGCATACTCCACGAGTAATCCATTTGCCGCAGCATTTGCCATCACCGCTCCCACACACGAGCAGGAGATGCAGAGGACCAAGGGAACGAAACGATCTGCTGCCTCGGGGTTGCAAGGAGGCATCTGGTACAGGTAGTGGCCGTTCTCGAAGCAGAAGTATGGGGCAGGCAAGCCACGGTATACAAGATAGAGCGTGCTGAGAGCGCTCAAGAACCAGCCGCCTGCCATGTAAGGACGGCGCCGGAAGCCGAAGATCGGCCTTGAGTCGGAGAGCATCCCAAGGACTGCGGAAAAGCTGACGGGAAGAAGCGCCAAGTTGCCACAGCCTTTGATGAGATTGCTTGGCAGGCTGAGATAGCCACCTAGGACCGAATGCCACAGGTCCACCCAGCCTCCGCCCACGAAGCCGTCACAGAAGAAGTGGAGGACGAGGCCCCAGTTCCCTATGTCGGACAACGCAAAATGCAGCTTTCCCCCCAGCTCCTTGTGAACGGAGCCTTTCTCCAAGGCATCCGCTCCAAACTCCTCACAGCCCTCTGCGCTTTTCTCCGGGAGGTGCACCGGCACCATGGCAAAACCGGCCGGGAACCGTCACGGATGGCGCAAAGCGCGAAGTCTACGGATGCTAGAGCCCAATGCCAAGGTACCAGTAAGGACAGTAAAGATAAACCCAAAACACCTAGGCCCTAGGCGCTTCCTGGCATCTCAACTCCACCCAAATTAACCCGAACCCTAGGCCGACAAAGCCTACAAGAAAGTCACCAAAAAAGCAATAGAGGCGAGGAGCATAAGCTCTGCATCACCTCCCCAGTCTTGCTGCCTAGGTTCCGCGAAGCCGGGCCTAACAAGGCCTAATGTAGGGTCCAAAGAAAAGAAACCATAGTTTTCGTGTGAGATATAGTGTATCTATATGGAGGAGTTTTGTTGGTAACTACTCCGGCCTATGTACTAGGCGGCTTGAATTCCTCATATTGAACGGCTTGGGGTCGAGAGTTCAAGCTTTCGAGTTTGGGGCATCACGGTACAAGTTTTGGGGCTCGGGATTTGGGATTTCAATTGGGGGCTGATCTTTGGCTTCAGGGTCTTAAGGTTTGGGGTTTACCCCACGATTTGGCAGCGACGCCGGTGTGTGTTGAGGATTGGCGCTTCGGAGGTTGAGGGTTTAGGGGTTTAGGGGTTTTGGGGGTTAAGATTTAGGGCTTGACTTTCGACGAGAGTTTGGGATTTAGCAAAACCAAATGTGGCAAGTCGAATCCTATAAAACCCTTTTGAACCGGTACAAAATCCTGTACAACCGCTTGAAACAGAGTCTTTTGCTGGAGACCCCAACAACAGCCCAGGAGCCAACGACCACGCCGTACACCCGAGCTCCTACAGCGAGCTGTTCAGGTACGTTTCGGGGCGTATGTTTCTTTGAAGCGGATGTGTCCCTGCCGTCTGACAAAATCAGAAAGGGCGCTGAGCTCGAGTGTCTTGCTTCTGACGTTTCAGCTCTAACGCAGCATATTCTAGATTTTTTCGATATAGCATAGTATACTGTATCAGAGTATCGTGTAATAAAAACGAACTAGGTCATTAATCATTAAGGTCTTGACTTGAGGGGTCTGTAGGCGCTTGGACTTTGAAGCGTCCGACTGGCTCACTCGTTGAGGTGCCTGGGGGACGTGGGCCCAGAGTGGGCGAACATGACGAAGAATGCAGCAGGACGAAGCCCACAGGAATCATAGAGCTGCGGCCTATCTCTGCAGCAAAACCGAAAGAGCAGGTGGAATCACATTCAGAGGCGGCGGGGAGGAGCAGCAGCCATAAGCTAAGCTACCTTAAAACAGTTCAAACAAGAGTGACAATGAGCTGAATTGAATCAACACTATCACGACTACGGGTAAGACGGGTGACGGCCCACCGACTTGACCTCGGCACATGAAGAGGACGCATAGTGCTTATTGTTTGGACCCTGGCAACGCGGACACCCTGGTGGCGGATCTTGATGTTGTGATGCCAGCAGCGATAGTGATAGTGATAGAAACAGTGGAACATACGGGAAGGAGGAAGAGGAGGAGGAGGAGGAAGGGAGTAGAAGCAGCTGCCGCTGGTATGGTATGGAACGAAGCTCAAACCCGCCGAAACACACATAAACAAAATTACCTGCACATCGACAGCCCGTGACACCAGCCAACCTCACCACACCGCACTATGTCCAATCTCATCAGTCCGAACCCTCAGACAACAACCACAAAACACGGCTTGCGAAGGAGTAACCATCAGATCCGTAGAAGCGGCGACCAAGATGTAGGTATGTGCAAGCACGTGTGGCAAAAACAGCAAAAGGCGCCATGCAGCCGAAAGGGCCGAACTCCGCGCGCGCCTCGCCGAGTGCCCCCAACCTTGGCTCACAAAAAGCTGAGATCTGCACAGGGAATCATGGTTCTTTTGGTTTAGGGTTTAGGGTTTAGAGTTTAGGGTTTGAGGTTTAGGGTTTATATCATCTACTTGGAGGTTCCTGGGTAGTTATAAGTGGGGTTTGAAGTAGGGTTCCTTTAAAGGGTTCTATAGGGTTCTTTAGGGTTTAGGGTCTAGGGGTAGTTATAAGTGGGGTTATAAGTCCACTAATATGGGTTATAACTACAGTTACCCTAACTGTAACCCCATTTATAACTACCCATGAACCTCCAAGTGCTCATTGCACAACGCTGTTAGGGCGGCACTGCCTCTGTGCTTGAATTAAGTAGGGCCAAATAATTAGGGGTCTATGGTGCGCGGTGAATCCACACACAACCCGTAAACTCCACCCCTCTCGAATAAAATCAGCAGGCGCAGATACGCCAACTCTGTTTGTCCTTTCTTGGGGCCCGAACTCGCTCGAGAAATCAAACGCCCTAATGCCTGACCCACGTCGTTGAACCCCGAACCCCAAAATCCCTGACCTTAGTTGACATAAACATCCGCCAGATTATTCCTCCTCCTGCTACTACGCACTACTGCGACGGCTAGGCCTACTACTACTAGGCTTCATCCACAGACAATAGGACACAGCTAAAGACTGCAACACCCACAACCACACATAAACCCTCAAGTCCCTTGTGCAACCCTGTTGCCTGCTAACGATACCAACCCTGCAAGAGAAGCCCTGAACAACAAATCTCTAAACCCAAAACCTTTAAGCACTGACCGTAAGCCCCTTCAAACCCAAATCCCCCAAACCCAACCCTAAATTCCGAAACCTATTCCCTACAACCAACTACAACCCTAAAAACCCGAAAAGCCCTAAACCCCAGAATCCCGAAACCACGCTGCACCCTTAAATCCGACACCTCACAGTAGGCTCTTCAAGACACCCAACCGGAACCATAAAAGGAGCCCTGAAAGTATCCCTTAAAGGAAATCCCTGAACCCTAAACCCTAAACCCCTAATCCCTGAACCCTAAACCCCTAATCCCGAAACCCTAAACCCTAAACCCCTAAACCCCTAAACCCCTAAACCCCTAAACCCTAAACCCTAAACCCCCACCCTCTACCGCCCTGACAAGCGCAGGCCTTGAGCTCGTTGCAGGCGACCCGCAGCTCCTTGAGCTTCGTGAGGCTACCGACATCTGCGAAGAGGCTTCGGTTTTGGGTTTATGGGGCCCATTTATGGGGGTTTAGGGTATATAGGTTTAGGGTTCAGGGTATATGGGGTTTAGGGTTTAGGGTATATGGGGTTTAGGGCATATAGGTTTAGGGTTTAGGGTATATATAGGTTCAGGGTTTAGGGTATATAGGTTTAGGGTTTAGGGTATATTGGGTTTAGGCTTTAGGGGCGGCTTCGGAGCTTTCCCCCTTTTTAAGGATTAGTTTCAGGGTGGCTGTGGTAGGGGTTTCACAAGGGCTTCTTTCATGGCTCTCAATATGGCTGTCAAGAAGGATTTGGGGTTTAGGGTTTAGGGGGATCTTTCGGGTTTAGCGCTTTGGATTAGGGAGCAGGATACATAGGCCTTTCGGTTTAAGTCCTTATAAGGCCGTAGCAGGGCTCTCCTGTATAATCCTTTTAAACCTAAATTAGGTTTAAAAGGATTATACGGGAGAGCCCTTCTACGGCCTTATAAGGCCTTATAATAAACCCTAAACCTAGACCATAAACCCTAAACCCTTACAGGGGTTTCACCTTTACAGGATACCTTGCAGGTTCTAGCGGGTTCTATCCCTCAAGGGCCTAAGGTGAAGGGTAGGAGGTTGCCTTAGAATACCGTAGGACCTAGCCTGCCACAACTTACCTTCTGTTGCACGATCATGATCCTAAGGTATAGAAAGCCTAGTAGAGATCCTAGAAAAGGTAGGTTTTGGTAGTAGGGGAGGCCGGGTACACTAGAAAAGGTAGGTTTTGGTAGGGGGAGGCCGGGTACACGGTCAGGGATTTAGGGTTGAGGTATATGGTGTTGAAGGCTCTGCAAGGTTACCTTTTACAGGTTAGGGCCGCTACGCGAAATTGGGTTGGGATTTGCAGGGCTTAAGCCTTGCAAAAATTGGGATTTTGGTATTTAAATGATCACTACCTATCGCATTGAACGCCTCCCGGAAAGGGAACGGTGCAGGAGGACTCATGTTCTGGGAGTAGCATCTGCCTGCGAAGACGAAGGCGAGCATGAAGAGGGCATGCCGGGCTATAGGAATGCCCACCGCTGATGGTAGGACCGTGCTAAGGGCCTCGCGGATGATGGTAGTTGCCCTCCATGTCCCGTTCAAGATGTATTTTTATTCACCCATGTAACTGGTAAAATATCCGATGCTACATGCTGATTACACATGTGCTGCCTAACCAAACCCTCAAGTGCAACTGGGTGAATGCCGATAAGTTCGTCGATGAAATCCCTTACGAAAAGGTTTTGGTTAATCGGTTCAGAGTCAAACCCTAAACCCTAAACCCTAAACCCTAAACCTTAAACCGGGTGAGGCATTCATGCCAACCGAAGTTCAGGGCTCCAGTTACCTAAATAGTAGGTTGCTAGCCACTTAGATGGGTAACCCAGTAGCCCATTTCAACCGACTGGGGAGTCGCGGAGCTGTGGCCATGGCGGCTATGGATCTTGCGAAGTTGCATCTTTCGCTGGACCCCGAACAACCACCCCGAACAGTCGCATGAGCCCAGCAAGAGACCCATGAACTCTGGGAAGCCGTCATCTTACCCCCTAAACCCTAAACCCTAAACCCAAACCACACAATCTACAACACCCCTGCAAGAAGCCTAAAGCAACTGCATCCTGGCCAACTTCCCGGAGAACTTCCCTGAAGCCGAAAGCCCACGGAAGGGCCCAGGAGACCTAACACCCTATGCCTGAAGCTCTGAATCGACTCACGATCACTATTATTATGAAAAAAAGACCCGAAAGAAGAATTCTAGGATCCCAAGGCACTTACCCTTTTCCTGCCTGTCTCTACCATTTTGTATATACTTTTTGGATGATTCCGAAAGGTTACAGGCGGCTCCAGGGGGTGATAACGATGAACTACCCATAGGCCCCATAGTAGTTCCTTTTTGGGGTTACCTTGTAGGATTCTGTAATATGAGCCCCAAAAAGGAACTACTTTAGGGCCTA